CGCGACAAGACGAGGCAAATACAGCGACGAAGTCAAAAACAGGGGGGGGTCAGTTATAGTGTAGCACGCCGAGAAAATCGCGGCCCCCGCCACCCAGCTAATTAGTTTGGTGTAGGGAGACGATGCTCTTCCCGCAAAAACCGGTGTTTTCACAGCAGCGCCTTTCGGCGTGCTATTGGGCCAACAACTCCAGCGCATGCGGGTGGTCTAGCGAAGCCTCGCCCCCCTTTTTTTGCACTTTTTCGGAGGAACGGTAAAAGATTTCCATATAAGGGGGGGCGGAGGGTTGCGCGACAAGACACCCCACTAAAGTCTTGAAAACGTGGATGCCCCCCCCCCCCCCCCCCCCTTTTTTGTCATTTTGTGCAGAGCTAAACGAGCGTTGCCTTTCGGAGGCGACAAAAGCTTTCGGCGACGTCCACCCGGTGGTGGCGAGGGTCATCGATCAGAAGGGCCGGATCCTGCTAGCCGAGAAGGACTTGGACGGGGCGGCGAGCTGGTTCGCAGAAGCACGACAGGTGGGACTGGGTCACAAAACTGCTGTTGGATGGATCCTTTTCGCCCGATTGAGGAGTACCGTGACCATTGTCGCTGACGCGGCTCACGTGTTCGGAGCTGATGTTGTGACCTCTGACGTTAGTGGTGGCGATTGCCCTAGGTGGCATTCTGGAAGCTCGTTGTGCCAGAGGGTGGTGGTGCGGGCAGCTGTTCAGGCCCGACAACTTCGTGTTCGAGCTTTGGCGCCGTGCTCGCCGCGGCTCGATTCATGTAGGCACGTAGTGGCCTCGGTATATCCACCGCCCCCCCCCCCCCCGCCGAAAGCCTTAACTGGTCGTCACAAAATGACCCCCTTTTATCTAGCTGTTGGACCTTCGACGAAACGAAGAGGTGGTGAAGTGAACAATGAAAATAGTGGAAATGGAATTTTCCAGAAAGTTTGCGGGTGCTTCCTTTCGAGTACGGAACCGGGCGAGCTCATACTGCGTTATTTTTTCCACTTGCTAGATGGTGCACCAGCAGTTTGATGGTTTGTTCTGCGTTTGATGATGACTATTTAGTGCAACTTGCTTTCATTCTGTTGGTTGCTTTCCTCTTCGTGAATTTGAAGGTCCGAGCGAGGCTCTCCCGCGGCCTTGTGGTTTGATTCTTTTCGCGATGGCCCGCTTTGTTTCTCGCCAGTTCTCTTCGCCGCTGTTGACTACCGTATGATGCACGTCCAAGAAATTGTTGGTTTGATGTATATCTAGAGGAGAAAATTGACGATATTTTGATCGTCTTACGAGAAAATAGGAGCCTGTTCACGATTTACTCGTGCAGTACTGTAATAGTCTCCATTCCCTTTAGATATTTTCTAGTATGTTTCGCGACTGCGATATACATGTTCAGACAATAGAACAAACACCATCATGCGTTTTTTTTTCTTTTTCAGATCCGTGAGGCGTTCTACGGCAAAGGACACGCGCTCGTGGCCCCGTCCCTACAGATGCAGGCGCACCTCGAGTTCACGGCCGGCAACAAGGAAGACGCGAGCGCGCTCCTGAAGGAGTGCTTGACCTTGCAGGAGGACAGGTATGGGTGCTGCGCACCAGCGGCGGTATCTTGGCGCACGCCTAACTTCTCGCATGGGAACGGTCGAGTACGGCAGGCGTTTTACCAAGGGCCAACCCAATTGAATTGCGTCGCCTGCATGCGTCGCGAAGTGTCGGTATACAACGCGCGTCACACAAGCTGCAAGCCCTGATGTATTGAAAATGTGTTTTTGAGGCGGTAAGGCCAAAGTCTTGCTGGCAGGGGTAAACTCTGGTGCGCCAGGGGGAGGGGGGGTAGCGCGGGTCACAATTCCTAGTTCGTCTTGGTACTAAAGAGGGGTGCTTTTGTCGCTCTGTCGCTGCTGTCTATGGTGGTGAGGACGAACCGAGTAGATAACCTGTGAATTGTGATCTGGGTCCTAGATGCTGCGGCCCCTCTGCCTCTCCCTTCGCAGTTTTTTTTGGGACACCTGTCATTGTTCTTGCTCTCTCAAGCCATTTTTCACGGGTTGCGATATCAAAGCGGCGCAATTGCATATAGGGAGCGGCCAGCCAGTACATATATTTTTTCTTCACACATGGCACGAAAAATCCATCTCTATTCATAGAAATGGTTCCAGGTGGTTATGAATTGATAGCGTTAGCGAGGTGATAGTGTTGTTTTGTTGTTGTTGTCATGGGAGGGAACTAAGCAGGGTCAGGTTTTATGTTCGCGTTCGGTAGAGATTTTGTAATGGTGCGCGTCTTGATCGCTACCTATGCATCGTACCATGGTATGGTAATTGTTCACCATGGATGTTGTTGACCCATGGAAGATGATCGATTTTTGGGTCGAACGAATGCTGCAGATACGGCGCAAACGATGACCGCGTTCGAGAGACGATCGACGTGTTCAAGACCTTCACCCCGGTCAAGAATCTGCCGCAGCAGCCCGATCCGGTCAGTCCACTTCACTCCGTCTTATTTTTCCTTTCTCCCTTCCTTGCTTCCAAACTTTGTTTGTTTCTTTTTTTTATTTTCCTTGAGAAGCTGTTTTTTCGCAGCAGGCGGCTGTGTGGTTCGGTTCAGCTCATTCCAGAGTAGTTTTTTTTTTGTTTTAAGTTTTTTTTCTCGGTGTTTTGTGTTTTTGCATGTGTGTGCGTGCGTAGAAATGCTCACGATTACGTTTTCTCTCTTTCTCGTCGCTGTTTCTCGTCAGTGGTACCTCAAGTTGAACGGCCCACGCAATGCCGTCAGTGCCCTTCGCGGGGTAAAGCTTGCAACAGGGGAAGTCGAGTTAGGGTTAGAGCAAGGGTTAGGGTTAGGGCTAGGGTTAGGGTCAGAGCAACAGGGGAAGTAGAGTTAGGGTTAGGGCTAGGGTTAGGGTTAGAGCAGCAGGGGAAGTAAAGTTAGGGTTAGGGCAGCAGGGGAAGTCGAGTTAGGGTTAGAGCAAGGGTTAGGGTTAGGGTTAGGGCTAGGGTTAGGGTTAGGGTTAGGGATGGGATCTGGGTGCCCCCTCGTCCCTGTTCTATCTCCTCATTGGCTTAACATCTCGCGAAGGCGGTCCAATACCGTCTGCGGGGTTTCTACATATTGCGTATGCCCCACTCTCGGCCCGGATCTGCTCTCGATTCTGATCACATCTCAAGAGCCGGGTTTCCGAATAGAGATTCGATGACCCCCTCTCTTAGCCAGTCGACACGCCCTTTTGGTCTTGCTTTTACTTTTTGTTCGATGGAGTCTTGAGTGACACGACGTGCTTCGTGTGTGTGTTCGTTGTTGGTGTTCTCACTTTTCCCAATTCTGTTTCATGTGATGTTTTTTTCTTTGCGTGTACTTGTTTGGTACTTATTTCCATTCTTGTTTTGTTGACGTTGTTGGTTCTCGCTCATGCCGTCGT